TTGCCTGAAAATGAGTCAGCAGGACTTTGTGAGCCATTCATTCCCCTAATAAAACACCTTCCTCCCTAATAAAACATCTCTTGCCTCTCTCTTTTGACCTTGGGCAGTCTATAAAGGACAATGTCCTTCCTTTGGGATTATCTAATCTCTAAGAGAAAATGCCTTGCCTTCCTATATTGCTGGCGGGAGCGTCAAATGGTGCAGCTGCTGTGGAAACACTTTGGTGATTCCTCAATAACTTAAAAACAAAGTTATTATGTGTGTTTATAACCCAGAATATTCCACTCCCAGATATATAGTCTAAGATAATTTAAAACATATGTTCATACAAAAACTTGTACATGGGTGTTCATAGCAACATTATTTATGATAGACAAAAAGTGGTAACAACCCAAATGTTCATCAACTGAGGAAAAGAAAAACAAATGTACCCACACAATGGAATATTACTCAACCATAAAAAGGAATGATGTATTGACACATGCTGTGACACAAATGAGCCTTGAAAGCATTATGCTAAATGAAAGAAGTCAGAGACAAAGGGCTGCACACTGTATGACTATATTTATATGAAATGTCCAGAATAGGCAAATCCATGGAGATAAAAAGTAGAGTAGTACTTGCCAGGGCCTAATGGGAGAGGAGAAATGGGGAGGGACTGCTAATGGCTATGGGCTCCATTTTGGGGTGATGGAAATATTCTGGAATTATATAGTGATGATGGCCGCACTATAAGACTATACTAAATACTCCTGAATTACAACCTTAAAATAACGAATTTTATGGTATGTGAATTATCTCTCTCTCTTTTTTTAAAAGCCTTAACAGGGCTCTGCCACTTTACTTTTTTCCTTTTGGATTAAGACAGGTAAGTAGAATGCATCTCAACTTGGGCCTCTGGTGAAGTGTTTCTTAGGCTGAGGGCTCTCTTTTGCCCTTCTTTTTTTTTTTTTTTTTTTTTTTTTTTTTTTTTTTTATGGTTTTTTTTTTTCCGGGACAGAGAGAGACAGAGCATGAACAGGGGAGGGGCAGAGAGAGAGGGAGACACAGAATCGGAAACAGGCTCCAGGCTCCGAGCCATCAGCCCAGAGCCTGACGCGGGGCTCGAACTCACGGATCGCGAGATCGTGACCTGGCCGAAGTCGGACGCTCAACCGACTGCGCCACCCAGGCGCCCCTCTTTTGCCCTTCTTGATATGCTCTATGGAGCTGGAGGAGCAGATACTAAGAATCCAGAGGTGTGCAGGAGAGCACAGATGAGAGCTGGGTGGGTCAGCTGCAGTCTTTGGGGAAGAGCAGTACTCTCCATTTACTCCGTCGACAAGTGTCCCCAGAGCCCTTTGATGGGCTGAATCTTGTGTGATTACTAACATGAATAAGACCAGTCTCCACCTTCACGAAGGTCAGGCTAAGACAAATGTGTTAAGCAAACAATCATAATTCAAAGTGATCTACCTACTACAGGAATGTACAGTTGACAGGAGAGCTTGTGGAAGACATTGGGGGGTGGGAGGGTCATCCCAGCCTTATCAACAGAAACAAAGGGGAGAAAGTAGGAATGATGGTGTGCTTGGGACAGGTGGGGAAATGGCCAGCATTTCATTGACATCCTTAAGGCAAGTAATTACTCAACTCTTAACTTTATCTTTTTTTTTTTTTTTTTTTAGTTTATTAATTTTGAGAGAGACAGAGACAGAGCACATGGGGTAGGGACAGACAGAAAGGGGGAGAGAGAGAATCCCAAGCAGGCTCTGTGCTGACAGCTGCAGAGTCCATTCCAGGACTCAAGCTCACCAACCATGAGATCATGACCTGAGCCCAAACCAAGAGCCTGTCACCTAACTGACTGAGCTTCAGTGACCCTTAGTTTTATCTTTTGTAAAGCTTCTTTCTAAAGGTTATATATGCACTGGCTAAAGTTTTGAACAGATCAAGAGGGAACACAGTGGATAGTTATCTTCCTTGGACACCTTTCTTCTAATTGTCTTCTCCAGAGGGAACTATCTTCAGATAGTCTTCTCTCTTAATAGATCCCTCTTTGCTTTATTTTTGAGAGACAGAGACTTCATTGTCAAGACTAGATCACAGAGAGTTAAGATGAAATTTTAAAGATCAAATTCTATAGGTTGGTTGGTATTCATTTACCTGATTCAATTCCATTCAGTTCAGTTCAATTTGCCCCAACCAATTCTGTTATCTTTACCTTGTGGCAGGCCTTTCATGTCAATTAATTGATTTTAGTGACTTAACAAAAAGTTTGGTTGTTAATTCACTTATTAAAAAAATATTTCCTGAGTTTCCTACCAAGTGACGAGCTCTGTTCTAAGACTTGAGGATAATGTCGTGAACAAGAGAGACATAATGTCTGTCCTCAGGGAGCTAATTGGGGGGTACAGAAGATAAGAAAGTCAGGTCAGGGGAACTACTCTACATTATCTAGTCTTTGAAGATGTGATATTTGAGACCTGAAAAACAAGAAAGAGCCATGCAGATATTGGATGGACCACACAGCTAGTGCAGAGGACCTGTGGTGGGAACCAGTCAGGCATATGGAAAGAAACAGAAAGGAGGCAAATCCTCAGAGGAGGAGTGGAGAGGGAATGGGCTTGTATTTGTTTGTCAGGGCAGCTGTAACGACCACAGCCTGAGTGGCTTAAGTAACAGAAATTTATATTCTCAAGGTTCTGAAGGCTAGAAGTGCAAGATCAAGGTGTCAGCAGGTTTTATTTCTTCTCAGGCCTCTCTCACTTCCTTGTAGATGGCTGCCTTCTCCCGCTGTCTTCACATGGTCTTTCCTCTATCCCTGCCCGTGTCTAATCTCTTCTCCTTGTAAGGACACCAGTCACACTGGATCAAGGCCCACTCGTATCACCCCATTATACCTTAATTACTTCTTTAAATACCCTATCTCCAAACCAATCACAATTTCTGAGGTATTGGGGGTTAGGACTTCAATATATAAATTTGGGGGGACACAATTCAGCTCATAGCCGGGCTGGTAAAGTCTGAGAAGCGGCTAGATTGTGTAGGGTTTTGTTGGCCAGGGTCAGAAGTTTTATTTCAGAGTGATTAGGAACCATTGGAAGCTTTTAAGTGGGGAGGGGGGCAGTGTCTGATTAATATTTGGGAGTTAATTTCTGTGGAGATCCCAGCAAGGGATCTAAAACCCCACTGGCCCCAAGCCCAGAGGTGATCTTCTCTATCAACCCAGGGCCTGGATTACATTTTCTTCATCCTGTTCACTGTTCTTGTTTTTCAGCAGAGTTTGCACAAAAAGAAAACAACACACTCAGGATAGTATGCCTCAATATTCCAAACAAATTCTGAAATGCATAAAAGCTTAACCATAAATACACATTTTGCAAGACTCTCTGATCTATTTATGGCACAAAAACCTCCTAAATAGAGGGACTGGATCAACTGCAAATAGCCATTGTTGACTTTCTATGAGTACATTGGCTATCACGATGGCTTGTGTGCCGTGGGATTGTTACAAAGACACATTTCTGTGTGCTGGTACTTTTCTGTGCTCCTCAGTGGATTTTGTTTTGTCATATGGGTCAAGATCTCCAACCATAAACAAAGAGGAAATGTTGGCTTGAGAAATACCTACTTTAATTTGTTAATAAGCAGAGCTGAAACTGGAAAAAATAATTTTGTTATGTAAACAAAAGTTTGTTGTTTGGTTAGTGCAAAGCATAACTCTTGCAAAATGCTAAGGGGACATGGTCCCCATGGGCGAACGTTTAAAATGGCTTTGGAAGAAAAGAAACAGCAGCTCTGTTTATTGTGCAAATGTAGGGAATGTCAAAGCCGAATCGTCAAAATTATTTTCAACAACTGAATGCCATTTATGAGCTGTGAGGTACCTACTTCAACAAAACTCTTTCAAGTTTAAAGGGAGAAGAATCTCTTTTTATGTATCTAAAGACAGCATCAAAATTAACATCTGAGTTATAAAAATAGTCCATGAAACAGATGACTTGATTCTGTGACTTGATATTTTACCAGATAAAATTCCAAGTGAATCTCTTTTCTCTTTTGCATTTTTGAGAGCTATTTCCCTTCTCTGGTTTGGTCCTCTGGTTAGTGTGTTGAGGCAGGCTCTTGTCAGCCAGATGGAATATAATCTATATTTAGAGCTTCCATTAGCTCTTGTGTTTGAATGTGCTACCATGTCCTAATTTCAACACAAATATTCTACAAGAGTGGATTGCCATTTATGTTACTGCTGCATAGTAAAGTCAATTATGCTAATACACCTTATTTTTTGTGAAGCTTTTAAAAAAACTCATGCATATTCCCTTTTTATTGGGTACCTATTGATAAATGGGAAGTTGTTAACTTGATAACATTTACTAGTTTTCAGACTGGCCAGCCTTAGTTCTGGTTTCTCTCCATGTCCCTTCCAAGCTGGTTTGGATGCTGGTTAATACCTCCTTTGCAGCTTGGGAGAGTTCAGCAGCCCAATTAACCTTGAGAATGGAAGAATGAAAAATGGAACCAGTCCATCCTCAGCTAAAAGGTTCATTTTGCCAGAGTAATTCTTTTTTTTCTAAAGTAAGAAATTATTGTGTTATCCCAAATGCACAGGTACTACTGTGCCAAAGTGCTGTGGAAAGCTTAATGCTGAACTTTCCTAAAATCAATTGAGTGTTAATGAAAGTTTGGGGGTAGCAGAATTCAAGAGAAAAGTACTCTTTGTTTTATCACTATCTCCCAAAACTATATAGTGGAAAGCTCTGCTGACATTTATAAAAATAACAACTCCCCTTGCTTGTGCTGGACAGAATAGAAAGCCATTTCACAAGCTTTCTGCATGGAATCAGAGTAATCCTCCTGGTGCCCTCTGGCAAAGACCTCTTCTGGGTGAACAGAATGCTGGCATTGTCATCAGAATCCTGGGAGCGAGGCCTTGGACCAGGTCTTGGGATTTTAATAAACATAGCAGATGAACAACCTTCTGGAATCAGAGTCTTTAACAAAACAAAACAAAAGTCTGAGGCTACAATTACTCGAAGGTTTATTTGGACCTTGGAAGGGAGATGAGGAACCTATAAATGGCCTTATGTACAGGAGAAGGCAGATAACCAAACTCATGCTTGTTCTCAATCAGAGCAGCTATCTGTACTCAGAAAAAATATCTGCTGTGTGATTTGTCACATGAAGGAAAAGATCAGGGGTTCAGTGGAGTCGCCAGAAAAATTGGGTTGTGTCATTTCCAGTCACCAAGGTCAGCACAGAAGATCAGACATGGGTGGACGTCTGGTGTTTGCTCATTCACAGGTCAGCTGAGACACACTTCTTGCTACCGTGTCCTATGACCCCTGGTTGGAGAGGATGGGAAGTGCAGACCCCAAGTTACACCAGTAATTCTCAGGCCCGGCTCCTGCTATTTTTATGGGGTCTTTGTTTTCTGCTTACAACTGGACTGCAGCTACTGCTGGCTCCCCTCCTACTTCTCTGCCTGCTTTTCTCTGCTTTCCTCCTGGGCCTCTATGACTCTTGATTCCAATTCCAGTGGGTGGATTTTTTGCCCCCATGCTTGCAAGCAGTTCTCTGACCCCAACTAGATGTCCTACAATTCAGTTCAATTCTGACATCATGCACTTGCAGACAGTGCCAGACCCTATAGGAAAGGGTTCAGTTCTCTCAAACCCTGTCCTTTTGGGTTTTTATGGAGGCTTCATTACCCAGGCATCATTGATTAAATCATTGATCGCTGGTGACTGATTCACGTCCAGCCCGCACGCCCCGCGGCGGCCCCCCCCCCCAAGAGGTCAGGATTGGGGAGAGGTAGGAATGAAAGTTCTAACCTTCAAATCATACTGTTGGTTCCACTGGAAACCAGCCCCCACCCTTAGGTGCTTTCCAGCTGTCACCTATTAACATCACAAAAGACACCTTGATGGCTCTCATCACAGGAAATTTGAAGGGTTTTAGGAGGTCTGTCAGGAACGGGACAATGGCCAAATATATATTTCTTATTATAAACCACTTCCTGAAACTGTCACTTAAATGTTGACATTCCCCGGGGTGTGCCCTATAAACCTATCTGTTCTCACTTTATGTGCAGACCAGAGCTCTTTCTCTGGTTCCATAGATGTCTCATAGTCAGTACTGAGTGATCTGAATTCATGATGCTCCCACCCCTGAGATTGTGCCTTTTCCTGAGATCCTCATCTCTAATAGTGATGGGGATTCATGGTGCTCGTGATATTACCGGCTCTGTTCCAAGCATCTGACATGCTTTACCTCATTTCACCTTTTTGAAAACCTGGTACAGAGGGTACAGATATTATCCCCATTCCACACATCTGAAGCACAGAGTGATTCGGTGCCTTGCCACAGGTTCAACAGCTAGCTGTAGGTAGAGCTAGGGTTTGGCTGTAGGCTGTGTAAGCCAGAGCCCATCTTTTGAACAACTCTGCTGTGCTACTTGCTGTTTGCATTCACCCAGGTCAGAAACCCGGTCATCATTTTTGATCCCTCTTCTCCCTTGGCTGCCTCTTCCAATCCAATGCCCATCCCATCACTCTTACCTCCTGAATAACTTCACTGTCACCACTGAGTCCAAGCGATTGCCCCCTAACTGGATACACACAATGGGCTCCCAACAGCTCTTCCTGCCTTCATCTCTTTTCTGCTTCCCACCCCATATACTGCTGACATTACAACCAAAGAAATCTCTCTAAATTGTAAATTCACTGTGTCACTCTGATAATTAAAATGCTCCAATGGTTTCCTGTGGTCCTCGGGTCAAAGTTGTTAAGAAATAAACTGAGGCATATTAAAAGTTTTTCAAGTTTATTTGAGCAAAAATCTGTTCTAATTGGAATAGAATCCCAAACTGGAAGTGGTTAGGAGCGCTTCCTTGACAGGAGCCAGGGGAAAGACTTACATAGAGTGGATGTAGAAACCAAGAAAGGAAATTATTTGATTGGCTGTAACTTTAAGCCTAGTTATAAGCTTGTTTGTAATTGGTTACCCTTAAGTTTCGCTTTCTTAACTTGGAGGCATTTACAGGCTTAGATTTTGGTTTGCTTATGTCAGTCACCCTGGCATTTAGAGCCACTTCTGTCTAAAGGCCTCCTTTTTAAAACTAATTTAACACCCTTAACATTACGAAAAAGGCACGATTTGGCCCCGTTCTCCTTTCCAGCATCATTCTCTCCAGACTCTCCTCTCACCTTGTGCTGTCCACATGCTCCAGTCTTTCTGAATCTCTTTCCTTTCCTGATTCTTAGAAGGGCACCTGCTCCCTTGTTACTCCTTGGCCACGGGTTGTCCAATCCCTTTGCCTGAAACACTTTGACCTTTTGCTTTACCTCGTTTGCTGCTTCTCATCCTTTACGCTTCAGGATCGCCTCCCTAAGAGCCTAAAGGGAATTTGGTGCCTTGGCTGCGTGTTCCAGAATAGCTGCTACTTGCTTTGTGCTGGTTCTGTTCTGAGTACTTCAAATATATTCACTTGTTAAATTTCACAGCAACCCTGTGAGGTAGGTACAATCAGCATTTAGCAGATGAAGAAGTGGAAGTACAAAATGTGTCTGTCATAGTCCACCAGGAAAATGATGCTACTCTAGTAGCTCACCAGAGGAAACTAGATACAGGGCTCTACTACGAGGGTATGGCAAGAGCACAAAAGGCAGAGGACGGGCGGCAAGGCAACCTGGGAATGAGCAACAGTAGGAAGCTGCTTTTGCAAGTTACAGGGGTGGGGGTGGGGTGGCTGGCGTGGAGGGGATGTCACTAGAGCTGAGGTTCTGGGGCTGCCCAACAGGAATTGGAGCCCAGGAGGAGATGCGGCCACTTCCAGAGCGGCCACCCCAGACCTTGACATTTCTCTCCTCTTTACGTGTTAAGCTCTACCACTACATCCCGTTGGCCTAGCTAACCCGACACTCGATGGCAGAAATGTCGTTCTCAGAAGTCACAGGGAAGATGGGGACTGGGTTGAGAGCAAACAGGCAGAAGGCAGACCCAGAGAAGTGAAGTAATTAGCCCAAGGTCGCACGACTTCTAGCTAGAGCCCAGGTAGTTTGTTCCCAGAGTGGGCACCCTTAATGACTAGTATATCTTGCCTCTCTGAGAACCTTAGGCAAGGCACTGAATCCCTCTGCCTCCGATGTATATAATGTGGATAATAGTACCTTCTGCATAAGGCTATGAAAAAGATTAAATGAATTCAAATATGTCACATACTTTGAACAGTGCCTGGAATAACACATACACAGTCAATTTTGGTCACTCTTGCAGAGACAGGGATCTCAGGAGGAGGCAGTGGTCTGGGGGTGGAAGCTATGCCCACTACCATTCCAAGCGTTTTCACTATAATGTAGTTGCTGTCTCCATTCCACAGATGCTAAAACTGAAGCCCCAGGAATTTGACTTGTCCTGGGTGACACAGCAAAAATGGAAGTAGGATTCAGGACCTGGATCCAGAGCAGGTGTGTGTAACTACCATATTGAAATTCCTGTATAATAGACGAGCTAACCTGAAGGCGGTGGCTCAGTCTGTACCTTCCGCCTATCTTTCCCTAGCTCTAGCTCAGTGCCCGGTGCCTAGAAGGTACTCACCTGCCTCATGAGTTTGCTGGTGCCCAGGGAGAGGGGATGTTCCCAGACTTGTTTCTGGTCAGCAGTGAGCTGACCAGTCCAGTCATGGGCTGCAGGCATAGCCTCTCTTCAGAAACTGATTGGACACTGTCTCCACAATGTATCCCCGAGAGTCCCAGCTTGGCCATTTCATCTAGTTCTGTGCTGTCTTCTCCTGACTGCCTGCTCCTACAGGCCATCTGTTTTTCTACCTCGCTGAGGGCTCCGGGGGTGCCAAGGCTAACAGTTACAATGGGGGAAATTGCCACAGGACAACGTAAGAGAAAATAAAATGGGGTAAAAGGTCACCATGGGAGAGTTCTAGAGAGCACTGAAAGATCCTAATTTGGAAGCACATCTGGACATAAGATGGGACGGAGAATTACACTTGCTAGGACACGTTATTTCTATTTTTATCTGTGTAATTGACTTGGTGTATGAAATGGAAGCAAATCACTCTTTTCTGCCTGTTTAAGAAGGCAAAGTAATTTACGGCAAACATTGGAAGAGCTGTACTGGATTAATTACTGACTCAAGTTTTGGCTAAACTCGGCCTTTGATCCTTTGCAACAGTATGCTTTGGGGATGCTGTCCTTCCTGAATTTTCTCTCATCTTGCCAGCTGAAAGAGTCAGTCTTCTTGTGAGAAGCCAGTGTGTATTTGTTTAAGAAGCAGTATGAATTAGGTGTCTGATAATGGTTCCCTTTTCCCTTTCGCTGTGTACAAAGGGAGAGTCAAACTGCTCAGTGCTTAGAAGCACCTAGAATTTCAAGGCACGTCTTTTATGTCCTCACTTCACCACTGCCATGTGCTTTCTATCCTATTTTCTTGGTCTTTTTTCCTTCCTCATTTATATTGTAGTAGATTGCATCTTGCTTAATTGTATGCATCTTCATAAGCCACCCTCAGTCCTTCCTGGAACAACACAAATAAATAGATACTGACTCAAACGTTTTTATTGTAGACTTGATTCTTCCCCTTGTTTTAGTGCAGTTCTTTGAGTTACCGACCAGCATCATTGTCCCATTGCTTTCTTAATGAACTCATGTAGCAGAGGCCTTTTTAAGGCAAAAAGTTAAATATTAAGTTCCAGGATTCCTAGCTGAGAGAAGTTGTAATTTAGAATTTGTTGATCAAGAAATATACGTTGAGTGGTTGCCGTAGGCAGGGAGTGGGGGGCAGGTGAAATGGATGAAGGTGGTCGGAAGGCACAAACTTCCAGTTATAAGATAAATTAAGTTCTGGGACTGTAATGTGCAGCATGGCAACAAGGGTTAACGATACTGGACTATATATTTGTAAGTTGCCAAGGAAGTAGATCTTAAAAGTTCTCATCATAAGAAAAAAATGTGTAATTATGTGAGGTGATGGATGTTAACTAAACTTATTGTGGTGATCATTTCATAGGGTATACAAGCATCAAATCTCATTATGTTGTACTCCTAAAACTAATACAATGTTATATGTCAATTATGTCTCAATAAAAAATACACAAATGACCCCCCCAAAAAAATCAGATACACATTTCAACAATAATTGAGTCATCAGAAATGATAGTGAGTGACCAGGAAGGAGTGTTTGCTGAAATGGTAAGGACCAGAGATGGGGCAGTCCTAATGTTTTAGTACTGGCTTGCTATGCACATTCCTATCCATTACACTTATTGTCTTTTGGCATTTGATTTTGTAAAATTTAAACACAGTATACAGTATAGATCAAGGAAAGGAACTCATTTGAGCAAGTAGATTAATACAAATAAATACAATTTAATACAAATTAATTAGTACAGATTAATACAAATAAACCCACAATGGTCAGTGCTGAAAAACAAAGAAAAAACATATGCTGAAAATTTACTTGATTTTGCTAATGTTTTAAAATGAGTTTTTATTTTATTAACACATATACAGAAATAAAATTAAGGAATTTATAATTTACCAATTATATCTTATTAATCACAACCAATCTATATACATTTGAAAAATAGTTGCATATACATATGGAACTTGCCACAACTTCAGAGTGCCCCAGAAGCTGATCCTTGCCAGCTAGGAACCCATCATTTTACCTTTATTCCGTTTTCAAGGTATATTCGGTTAGGTGCTAGTGTCTCCAATATATACTAGAGTGTTTTCTTTTCATGAAAAATGGACAACAATTGGCTAGACCTCAACCTTTATTGATGAAATTTCCCTTCTACCTTTCTAGACATGCGCTTCATTAAAAATCACTTCATTAAATCTGAACGAGATTTTAAACTTGTTTAAGTGCTTTGATGCAATATTTTGTTTTTGTCAATTGTATATAATTTAACAATTATATATTCCTATTAAAGAATAGTTCTGAAAGGAAACTGTAGGAAAATGAATGGCTTGACTGAGGTCACATTTCAAGTCAGAGGCTGACCTGAGACTAGAACTTTATTTCTTAAAATGAATTCTGTTGCTTTCTCCCTTATCTTATGTTAACTAAGGGCTGTGTCTTTTTTAAAAAATCTTTTGGGCCGCTTGGGTGGCTCGGTTGGTTAAGTGTCCGACTTCAGCTCAGGTCATGATCCCACGGTTTGTGGGTTCGAGCCCCGCATCGGGCTCTGTGGTGACAGCTCAGAATCTGGAACCTGCTTTGGATTCTGTCTCCCTCTCTCTGCCCCTCCCCCGCAGGCACACATCCTTTTTCTCTCTCAAAATAAATAAATAGACATTTAAAATAGCTCTTTTTAAGTAAACAAGTTCCCAGTGATCCTTCATCTTTCCCCCACCCCAATGAAGTAGCAGGACTGTGCACAGACCTGTGCCTCTTTATTCTTCAACATCTTTGCCTCCCACTGGGGTCTTGAAATCCTGCTACCATCTACATACATTAAGAAATCAAGATTATTCACTCCAGACAGCAGCTTCTCGGCTCTACAGATTAGCTTTTTTTGTGTGTGTGAACAAAGACTGGCACATCTGATCTATAGGATTTTTTGTGGTTGTTTAATGGAATTTATTGAAAGCAACTCAGCAAAGCCGTGTTTCTATGGGTAACCATGCCTCAGGAAAAGCCTGTGCTTAAACCCCGATATTAAATAGCATTCTGTGAAAGGCCGTCTTGCCTGAATGACCTCCCCTGCAGACACTTCGCAGGCATGGGAGAAAGCTGGCAGGGATCCATTTTGTTTATCTCAGTGTGGATTTTTTCCTTAGTCCCTGACATGGGTTAATTCTAAATTATAATCCAACCTGCTTCCTGGGGATCCCTGAGGAAATTTTGAGAGAGAATGCAATTTGTTTTGTGAACTGAACACCAAGTAGCTCATGTTTGGCCAAAGATGAAAAAAAAAAGAAAGGAAAAAGAAAAACTCATGAGAAGAAACAAAATGAAACACTAGCAGTCTTTCTTCCCTATGGGCAGTGCAGGGTATGGGAGGACAGGGGGAGGGGGTGGGAAGTGTAAAGGAGGCAGCTGAGTTTATTTTTAACACCAAGTTAAAGGCATACTCTGTGTTCTTTCCTTTTAAAAATAGACTTTTAACCTCTTGAAACGTTTTGACTCTATTCTGCCTGTGGGGTAATACCCCTTTGTGGCTGGCAACTCCCACTGGATCTTTTCCCATTACAGACTTCCTGGCCAAGTAGTTAGGATGGAAAAACCCCAGAATATTTGGTCACAGAGCTCTTGATCAGCATATGCACATAGCTCCTGTGTGCAGGAAGGCTGATACACCCCTGCTGCTTACCTGGACCTTGAGCTTTGCCACATCCTTCAAAACTTGATGGTTACGAAAAGATGTCCTGTTTTTAAAATAGACTGAATTAGTGGATATAGTCTTTTTGAAGTCCATTGCAATAATTTATTCAATGAATTTATAAATGACACAACACACACATGCACGCCCCCCCCCCCCCCACACAAAATTAGATGTGTACGAGTAGCTATGATAATAGCTAATCTCTAACACTGGTTGAAGGCTTATGATTTGCCAGGCAACTGTTTCGTATACATTTAGGGCTTTGACCAATGCTCTCAATTTTACAATCCCATTTTACAGATGAAGAAACTTGAGCTCCGGGCTATTAAGTAACTTATGAAGATTATAATAAAGTCAGTGAGTGGTTTTGGGGGAGGGAATTCAAACTCAGGTAGTTAGGCAGATCAGGTCCACTGCTACTCCATATGGTAAGTCCATAATTAGAAAAGGAGCCTGTATCTTCAGACCACATTTGCTTCCCTCTGTTGGAAAGTTAATTAAACACTCGTTTTGTTAGAACAAGACATTTTATTTCCACTTGCAAGACAGTTATCATCATAAAAATGCAAATGTACAGTGTTGACAACTTGAAGGGTGCCCCTTTAGATGTGAAGCCCTTGTGCTATGCACAACCTGCACAAATGTATATGGTGGCCCTTTGCACACATACACAAACACATAAACCTCATGAACTGCAGGCAGGGGAAGTTTATGAAGAAAGAAACAAATTGCTTTAATTTAAAAGGTTAGGGAACTAGTCTTTTAGTCTTTTACTAAAAGTAACTAGACTGATTTGATGTTAGTAACAGTTCTTCTACATGCCTCAGTCTAGAACTAGTACAACTCATGAGAAACTCTGAAACTTGTTTGTATTTGTACACAGTACAAAAGTGTTCTACTCCCACTTTCTTTTTCTTCTTCTCTGGGGAATAAACCTTGAGTTCACATTGGAACAGGTGGTTGATATGTATGAGTATGCACATGAGTGTGTTAAGGTTGGTGGGGGGAGAAATACAACAGTTTGCAAACCTAGGGAGATTTAAATTTTATTATGGAAATTTTCACAAATGTTCTGAAAGTAGACCAAAACGGCATAATGAACCCCACTTACCCCCATGAACCTAACACCCAGATGCAATAATTATCAACTAAAGGCCAGCCTTGCTTCCTCTATATTTCTATTTATGCCTCCTTTTTAAAGCAAATTCTAAACATCATATTTTATCATCACATTATTCTCAAATATTATCAAAATATTTCAGTACATTTCTCTACCAGATGTAAACTGTTTTTTTTTAAAAACCACAATACCATTATTACATTCAAACAGAAATAGCAGTAAGTCCTTGATGTTGTCATACACCCAACTGATGTTCAAATTTTCAGTTGTCTTCCAAGTGTTCCAAATTTTCTTCTGTTTTTTTGTTTGTTGTTTTCACCTCGTGTTTGTTTGAAATGGGAATCAACTGAGTTCTAATGTCACATTGGTTGTCATATCTCTTAAGTCTCTTGGAATCTACAAGCTCTCCCTTCATCTCATTTTTCTACAGCTTGTATTTTGCTATTGTGTGGATATGGCGTCCTCACAATACAGCTTAACACATTTCTCCGTAGCAGAGTCCTTTCTGACAGTAGTCCAGGCATCTGTATATTCTTGGGTGAACTTGAGCCACAGTGAGGCTTGGAAAGGACTAGGAAAAAAATGCTCAGTGTCCTCTCCTCGATTTTTGAACGTTTTGGCTTGAGAAACAAAACTCTCAGGAACTTTCGATTGTCCACCATCTGTAGACAGGTAAAGAGTGCCAGCTTGCATGTTCAGGGCAGGTAGACTCTCCTGAGTAATTTAGGGGCTCCAGGAGCACAGTTTCTCATCCAGGCTTGAGAGAGGACAATAGACCTGAATTGGTGGCCTAGAGAAAACGAGAATCTCCCAGCTGGGGGGAATTTGGTTTCAGTCGGGATCATGTGGAAACCAGTTACCAGCAGGCAAATCGCCAATGAACTGGCAAAGCCTCCGTTTTGAGTGCTTGAATAAGACAGTGCTTAACTTAAGTGGAGTTTAAGTAACTGGTTAAACCAAATGTTCTGTGGATACTTGATTGATGTTAAATCTACATGTCTTCAGCGGATTGTGAAATGAACACATTGGATTCATTTTGAGGTTTTGTTTTGTGTTTCATTATAATAATCATAATAATAATTATTAGTAGTATTATTTTAAGATTCTAGCTTTGCTGAAGAAATTAAATGAAGGTCAGTAGTTTCACCAGCTCATGGTCCTGTTCTCCACAAGGATCTATCACACCAATGCTGTTGGTAGTAAAAGGCGACCTTGACTTTGCTGTGGAAGAAACAGCGATGTTATCTGTCCTAGGCTGCTCTGCTTCTTGGCCATTAGTCCAGGATTTCCTTCTCCTGTGACTCCTGAAGCCTCAAAATAATAACAGAGCATTACATTTTCTTGGTAAGGTTAGGGTTTCGAGCTGTTCCCTTTCCCACATCCACATCTGTCATGAGCATGTGCCTCAGCCCCCCCATGGCCTCCTTGCCCTATTCCAGCCGCCGGGGGGGGGGGGTGCTTCCCAGGCGCTTGCTAACAGAGAGGCTCGAGTTAAGATCTGCGCTGCAACCTCATTGGCTAGCTGGGTGACCTTGGGTAGGTCACTTGATTCTCTGCGAGCTAATATCTTTACCTGTAAAATAAAGATTGTATCATCTGCTTTGCCTCCCACATGAGGATGTTATGAAGACCAACTTAAAAGCATTAATGTAGGTGGAAGTCCTTCACTAAACTATAAAACATCACACAGGTGCCCTTGATGCCTGCTGCTTGATATCTCCACCCACATTTATCCAGTCCTTCCTGGCAGTGGAGAAGAAATTAAATTCTAGAGTCAAATAAGGCTCCGTTGCTTTTTAGCTTTATCCTTTGGGGCAAGTCATACTCTGAGTCTTGGTCCCTCATAAATAAACTGGGGACATTTTTATCTGGCATTCATTTATTTACCTCTTTACACCTTGACTCGGTGTTGTTATGAGGACTAAAGTTTAGATAACAGATGTAAAGCCCCTAATGTAGATTTGGCCCCCAGTAGGTCCTCAACAAATGACAATTCTTTTTCCCTCCCTGCTCTTGGCAATTGTACTACAGTATGACCCAGCTGACATGCCTTCCTTTATAAAGGAAGGGCTCTTCCCCTAGATGGCTGAGGACAGGAGGACAGGACCGTCTGCTAGCCTTTCCATCCTTACTTACAAGGATGCTTGCTCATAGCCCAGACATCTTTAAATTCTCTTTGTAAGTCAGTCGGCTAAGGAGTTACATAATGGAATTTTGCTCCTATATTACTTGGGAATAAAGATTCCTCAACAGCCTGTGTGAAAAAACCCCAAATGTTTGGTTGACTGCAAAATTAACACGAGTCAGTGGTGTGATGGAGTGAGCAGAACATCAGTGTATTTTAGGAAGCACAGTAAGGACCCATCCTACTTGTGTAGGTCAGACCATACCTGGGGGAAAGGATTCAGTTTAGCAGGTTGGTACACTGGGATGGATCACTAGAAGGGGTGGGGGGAGGATAACAAAGGGCTTGTGATCCAAGATATTTGAGTAACTATTAGAAAGACTGAGGATACTTAAGCTGCAGAAGATATATTTCAGGAGAGATATGTTATTGTCTTCTGTTCTTTGAATGGACTGAGCAATTAGAGAAAATAGATCACCACCACTTTGCATTTATGCAAGAGTACAAATTTCTAAGGAGTACATATAAGCATGCATTTGAGGTTATGTGGTTTCACAGGAAGGAATTAGGGACAGTAGACAAAAGTTGTTGGGGAATAGTTCTAGTGGTCTTTCTATTTCTATTCCTACTTCAAACTCTGGGCTATTGTAGGAATGGGCCATTACAACTCATTTAAAACTGGGCTTCCTGGTGGCCAGTCTCAGCATGGTATTACATTCAAAAGATACTCAAAACAATATTGAAATTAGGAATTGAAAAGCAACATAACCACAAATATACCGGAAATTAAAACAGGTAACAAGGGACAATCACATACAGCTTTAGGTCAATTAATTTGAAATATGCAAAATGGTCAATTTTCTAGAAAACTATAATTAATTAAAACTGACTCAAGAGGAAATAAATGACCTAAGTCTAATGACCTTGGGGTGCCTGGGTGGCTCTGTCAATTGACTGAGTCAGTGACTTCAGCTCAGGTCATGTCATGATCTTGTGGTTCATGGGTTCGAGCCCAGCATTGGGCTCTGCGCTGACAGCTCAGAGCCTGGATCCTGCTTTGGATTCTGTGTCTCCCTCTTTCCCTCTGGTTCTTCCACCATTGTGCTCTCTCTCTCTCTCAAAAGTAAATAAATAAACATTAAAATTAAAAAAAAAATCCTACGACCTTGAAAGACATTAAATCAGGGATTAAATCTACTCATATTATGAATTAAGATATAGTTAGTTTCTTACAGGCAAATTTTACCAAAATTTTTTTTAATATATGAAATTTATTGTCAAATTGGTTTCCATACAACACCCAGTGCTCATCCCAAAAGGTGCCCTCCTCAATACCCATCACCCACCCTCCTCTCCCTCCCACCCCCCATCAACCCTCAGTTTGTTCTCAGTTTTTAACAGTCTCTTATGCTTTGGTTCTCTCCCACTCTAACCTCTTTTTTTTTTTTTTTAATTTTACCAAATTTATAAGAACATATAATCCCAATCTTCTATGAACAGTCCAGAGAATATAAATAGAGCATGAAAATAAACAGTACCTTAAAACTCATTTTGTTAGACTGGAACAAACCTGAATCCAAAATAAGACAAGGATAATAGGGAAAATTGTAAGCCAACCTTACTTCTATTTCTTTTCTTGTTGTTGTTTAAAATTTTTATTTTATTTTAAACTTTTGTTTAAAATTCTACTTCAGTTTCAGAAGTAGAATTGAGTGATTCATCACTTACATATAATACCCAGTGCTCATCACAAGTACCCTCATTAATACCCATTGCCCATTTAGCCCATCGCCCTGCC